CTCGACGCAATTTCAAAAGCATTCTTCCACTCGCACAAGGACACACAGGTCTGGCAATCCACATGTTGTTATGGAGGCTCCTAAGAATCCCCACACATATGCACAACATTTTGCCGAGAGAAAACAATGACTCAACTCTCTTACCCCAAACCAGCACAAGTTACCTTCAGACGGGAAAGTTCAGTAGTAGATGAGCAGCTTTGCAGAGGCCAGACCTCGCTCGGTTTACGCTTTTTCCCAATACTGTGCTACCCACTCACTACCCACCTCTTAGCTCTAAAGAGTTCAAAATGGAGGGGGGGGGCGGAAGCAATAGCATAGCGGCTAAAGTCCTCGCCTTGCATGCCCCTGGATTCCATATGGCCACTGGTTCTAATCCTGGTGGCCCTACTTCCCATCCACCTCCCTGCTTGTGGCCTGGGAAAGCAGTCGAGGACGGCCCAAAGCCTTGAGACCCTGCACAATGTGGGAAGAGGCTCCGGGCTCCTGGCTTTGGATCGACTCTGGCCGTTGCGGCTGCTTGGGGAGTGAATCAATGGACGGAAGATTTTTCTCTCTGTCTCTCCTCCTTTCTGTGTATCTGACTTACCAATAAAAATAAATAAATCTTAAAAAAATAATAAAAGATGAAAACACACATAAATTGAGAACTGGGAAAGGCACTGTGCCTAGTGCTAAAACAGTTAAAAGATGTGGAAACAGGCTCCTGCTCCCAAGCAGCTTAGATTCTAGTCAGGCAGGCAGGACGTGCCCATGTCCCTCGCTGCACACGAGCAAGCACTAGGGCACTTGTGTCAGCGAGCTCGCCGGAGAGAAGCACAGACAAGCTGAGAAAGGTTCCAAGCCGAGAGCCACACTGCGCAGACCCGAAGGACTCAAAGCAGCTGCGACAGAACGAACAGGGAGGGTGTCTCATCAGGTGCCAGCCTGGCCGGGCTACAGAGCGAGGGCAAGAGCAAGAATTCAACCCTCGGTCTGCAGTGGGATCCCCTGTGCCAGAGCCCCAAACCCAGAGGATTCCAGTCTGCTGCTCTGGGTGGGGAGAGAAAACCGACATGGGAGTGGGAAGGCCACGAGCTCTCCATCTGCTTGTCCCAAGCAACTCTGCTCTAGCACCAGCAGTCTGGAGAAGGGACAAGTGACGGTCCCTCGGGTGCCCGGTGCTCCTCTGTGCACTCCCCTCCGAGCTCTGTCACCAGGAGGCAGCGCTCAGGGGCCCAGGCAGACAGGTCCTGAATCACTGCTCCGTTCTAAACTGAGCAGTACAAAGCTACAGCAAAGGCCCGGAACAGCCCCCAGTCCTGCCCCGCCGCGCACAGAGGCCAAATGCTGCGCCTCTGAACTCCGACCAGTCCACCTGCTAGGCAAACACCTTGCTTTGCGCCCCGTGTGACTGCTGCTGAGGGGGGCACATGGGCTGCGTTCGCCTTTGGGACGTGCCCCTCAGAGACCTCTCCATGACTGTGGGGAGGAGCGGAGCCTGCTCCTCCCAGGGCACTCGCTCCTCCATCACCTCCAACAAAGAACAGACACAAACATCACCACCCTTCTCACGGAGGCACTCCTTCCTCTGTTGGGAGGGCACGCTGACCGGAAGTGGGTTCCCGCTGCAGCCTCACCTTCCCCCACACTGCTACAACAGGCTTGCTTGCTTGCTTTTTTCTTAAGATTTATTTATTTTTATTGGAAAGACAGATTTACAGAGAAGGGGACAGAAAGATCCTCCATCTGCTGGTTCACTATAGTGCCCAAATAACTGCAGTGGCCACAGCTGAGCCCATCTGAAGCCAGGAGCCAGGAGCTTCTTCCGGGTCTCCCATACTGATGCAGGGTCCCAAGGCTCTGGGTCGTCCTCTGCTGCTCCCCCGGGCCACAAGCAGGAAGCCTCATGGGAAGTACAGCAGCTGGGACACGAACCAGCACCCATATGGGATCCCCGAGCTGGGCCCAAGCTTTTCTTTCTTAACCAGAGAAAACCACCACCAGTTCAGCAGACTAGAATGGCTGAAACTGATTTCAGGCTGTCTGGCAGCCCATTAGCAAGCCCAGAAATCACAGCGACTCACACAGGCTGAACACCCCCTGCTATCCTGCAGCACACGCAGACACAGGCTGTGGCATGACAGGCGGAGGGACAGTGCAGACTCCAGGGCTCCCTGCACACCAGAGCCACAATTCCCAGAGGGTGTTCTGCAGAAATTCACCTCACATGAACGCTCCCATAGAGGAAGTAAAAGCAGTAAGGCTTTGTGCCAGGGCTAACAGGGCCACACCACGGAAACAGCTGAGGAAGTACCCACCCTTACCAACAACAGTCACAGTGAAAAGTTTCTGAGAGTCCCATAGTAAAAAAATAAAGTTCTGAGGTTGGCACACTAGCACAGCATGCAAATCCCCCACTGTGGCACTAGCACCCCATAGGGACTCCAATTCAAGTCCCCGCTGCTCAACTTCCAGACCAGTTCCCTACTAATGATCTGGGAAAGAGCAGAGGATGGCCCAAGTCCTTGCACCCTTGCACCCACGTGAGACCCAAGCAAAGCCTCTGGCTTGACTAGCCCAGCTGTGACTGTACAACCATTGGGGGACTGAAAGATCTCTCTCTCCTCCTCGCAATTCTGTATAACTCTTTGAAGAAGAATACGTAGATTTTAAAAAACAACCAAAAAGAAAAATGTTTCACAAGCATGATTACAAATCCAAAGAAGTCACATGCATTGTAATTCTGAGGTGCAAAATGGTAGTGCCAGCTGTGTAGGGTCACTGGATACCTACAATGTGCCCATTCAGAATCAAGATGGGTGTTGTACGTACAAAGAGCCAGATTCCAAAGGCTTATCAGGAAAAGCTGAAATGATATCATTTTGGATATAAATGACCCAATATACACATTAAAATAATTTCACCTGCTTATACTCTTAAATACAGCTACAAGAATCTTTAATTATATATATAGGAGACACAGAAACAATAGTCTTAGAAACTTCAGAATTTCCGATTAACTTGGTCTCTGTACCACATTTGTTTTTCTGAGAGTTGAACAATAACACAGAACTTGAACCTGGTGCGGTAGCCTCGCCTTGCATGTACCAGGATCCCATATGGGTACCAGTTCATATCCTGGTTGCTCTACTTCCCCTCCAGCTCCTTGCTTGTGGTCTGGGAAAGCAGGCAAGGATGGCCAAAGCCATGGGACTCTGCACCTGTGTGGGAGACCCGGAAGAAGCTCCTAGCTCCTGGCTTCAGATCGGCACAGCTCTGGCCATTGCAGCCATTTGGGAAGTAACCCAGCAGATGGAAGATCTCTCTCTCTCTGTCTCTCCTTCTCTCTGTAAATCTGACTTTGCAATAAATCATTAAAAAAAAAATACATGAGAAACTCATCTGGATATTGTCACCCAAAGACTGGTGGCAGCTGACAGCTCCATTAGAGACGCACACCTCTCTTCTCTGTGGACAACGGCCTCTGATGTTTAGGCAACCAAACAGGGCTGCTGCACTTTGCCGGTCACCCCAAGGCACAGTCTCAAGTCTAAACACCAGCTAAAGGCTGGGTAAACCCAGTGGCTGAATGTACAGTCACCACGCCCCCAGTCACCAAGCAAGCACCGATGAAGACAGAAGGTCCTTCCGGCACGGCCCACACGGGGAAGGCCCAACGTCCAGTTACATGCAAGGTCTAAATCAAGTTCACAGAAAATGTGTATTATGAGAAACTATGCATAGTTTCAATGTTTTGCATCAAGATAATCTCTTCCCAATTCTCCAAGGCCTTTTAGCTGTGCCTTCATGTAATTCCGGTAGCAGTATCTGTTAGTTCACGTCCCAAGGCAAAGCCCCACACCAGAGCTTCCTGGGCAGGGGCCTTGGCGTGCGGCCCCAGCAGCACAGACAGGCTTCTGCACCCCAAGCCCACAGGCAGGTGGGGGCTAGAAGTGGGAAGGACCAAGGAGAACCACCAGTAGACACAGGTAGTTGCATGAAGCCCTGCCGTGAGGTCCCACCCGCCTGGCTGTGTAACAGGAATAACTCCAGCTCCCCGAGGAACGTGAGGGTCAACCACAGCCGGGGCCCAGAAGACAGTCTCCTCCCCTCCACTCCCCTCTGCTCAGCCGTCCCCAGAGGCTGCACCTACCACGGACAGGCTCCCTACTGTACAGGTCAGAGAGAGCTCGGACACCAGCAGCCCAACAGGAAGTGGGCTTTCTGCCCAGAGGCCAAGTTCACACTGGCACCCCAGCCTGAGAGCGAGCAGCTGGCAACACAGCACAAGGGAGCCCACAGGGTCGTCACCATCTGCAGGGGAAGGGCAGCCCTGCCTTCACCCTATTGTCTCGCTCCTGGCCCACCTTGCCCAGGCCTCGTCCAGCTCTCCATGAGATCTGCACTAAATGAACAAAGCTGGGTGCCTCGCTCCTCCCAGGTCAGTGTCTCCATCAGATAGGAGCCTGGCGTCTTCAGGAGGGCCCCGCCGCGGGGGGCTTCTCCAGGAGCAGAGCAGGCCAGAACAGCCATGACACACCAGCCTTCGCCACCTAAGCGGCTGGGGTCGTGTGCGTGCGGCCCGGTTCCCGCTCTGCGCCCATCACACGCGCTTGCCACGGAATGGCCCACGGGGTCTGCAGGATGCCCCCTGGCCAGCAGCCGGGGCCTTCGGCTGGCGCTGAGCCCGCTGCTCCAGGCTCTCAAGAGGCAGAGAGCACCTCGCCGGAGCCGGGTAAGGGCTCTCAGCTGCTGGCGCGGCCGGGGAGCTCTGACCGAGGCGTGACCCCTGCAAGGCCTGGAGTGCCGACCCTTTGATGTCGGAGCCCTCCGGAACCCGGGCCGTCTTCAAAGCAGCCCCTCCGCGCAGCCGGGCCCTCCAGGCTCCTCGAGGGCTGTTGGGCACGGGAGCCCGGCGCCCCCGAAGCCTCGGAGCGGCCAGGTGGCCGGCAGCCCAGAACTTTGCCAAACTCGCCGAGGGCACGGAGGTCGGCTCCGCCCAGCCACGGCCCGCTCACCTTGGCCGACGTCTCCCCAAACAGAGGTCTGTTGTCCAGACCGCTGGTGCCGTAGGTCCTGGCCGAGAAGTCCTCCATCTTGGGGCTTCCTCGTTCTCGCCAAAGCCTCTCAGCAGCGAGCCGGCATCGCCTCCCGCAGCCTCACGGCGCCCGCGTGGCCGCAGCCCCTGGGGTCCTCACGCCGCTCCGCCCGGGCCCCGCTCTCCTCATCCCGAGCCGCTGCCGCACAGGGGAAGGAAACACGGGCGCGTGACCGGGGCCGCCGGGGCAGCTCCCGCCCGCCCGCCCGCGCCTCCCCGGGGCCGGCCGGCAGCGCCCGCCCGCACCCCGATCTCCCCGCTTCGTGGCACTTTCCGCTCAGGGAAAGTTCTCGCAGTCCCTCCGCTCCCGAGGAGCCGCACAAGCGAAGTTGCCCGCGCGCGCCGAGAGGGCGCGGGTGGCCGCCGCCGAGCCGCTCTTGCAGCCCTCGCGTCGCCTCCGTCCCCCGGCCTCCCCTCCCGCCTCCTCGGCCCTGCCGAGGCCGGGCTCCGCGGTAGGAGCGCGGCCCGGACCTCACGGAGCCGGACCCTCCCGGCCCTGCCCCGCGCCCGCGAGGCCGAACCTCGGCGTCCCCGGCCGCCCGCTCGCCCCGGCCGCGCCGCCGTCGGGATTGGCAGTCCGGGCTCAGGGCCGCCGCGCTGGGCAGGAAGGAGGAGTCGGCGCGGGCCGAGGGCGGACGCCGCTCCGGGTCCTCTCTCAGCCGGCCGGGACCCGCGGCCACCGTCGCCAACCGGCCCGGCCCGCCCAGGCCGCGTCACCGGCGAGGCGGCCAATCCCGCGGGCCGAGGCGCCGCATTGGCTGCGGAGCTCTCTCTCCGGGAGGCGCCGGCCCGGCCCTCGCCCCGCGGGGCAGCGAGTCTCCGCGGCGACGCGACCCGCGCGGGGCGGCCCTGGCCCGGCCCCGGGCGTCGGACGCGCTGCCGGCAGCTGGCGGACCCCGGGTTCCAGCCGGGGCTGTTTGGGGGCGTCCGTCTGGCGCTGCTCTGTCATAGGGTGCCTTTGTGTGCCCCAACAGTGAGGTGGTGCTGGTGCTTGGTCCTCCCTCAGTCCCCGGCTTGTCTGCGGCCGCGGGGCCGGACGCTTCTCGGGGTACACGGCGCCGCTTCCCACCGGGGCCGTCCCGGACACGAGGGTCCGTGGGCAGAGCGGTTGGGACGCGCCTCCACCAGCTCTGGGAATCCGAGGGCTGGCCCGGGAACCGCGTGGAGTTGCCGCGCTGTGGAGACTTGGGTACCGTGTGTAGCCCAGTGCTGGCTGCTGCCATCATGTGGGGAGTGCGCCAGACTGGAAAAATCCGTCCCTTCCTCTGAAACTGTGCCTTGTTTGATTAGTCCTAGAGATAATTTACTCCCGCTCGACAAAATACTGATGAGAAGCTACTGCAAACCGGAATTTTACAGTGGACAGGGAACTTCAGCGATCCAATCTGCCAGGTCCAAAACACAAGCCCGGGCCACGATTAAACTCATGCACTAACTTCTTTTTTTTTTTTTTTTTTTTTTAACAGGGGGCTTATTAAGGACAGAAACCTCTACAGGCCACTTAATATAATCAGCGTGGAACATCCATATTTTTGGAAGTATAAACAGAACAGTCACACAGGTGTAGCAATTATGGGCAGACAAACGTTACTAATAAAGGTCAAATAGTAAAATTATAAGTGCATGTCATTATGGTTGGTGATTCAGGTGACCTGCCATCCTGAAACACGGTGACAAAAGCCTAAATCTTCTGTCCAGATGCGAGGGAGAGAGTGGGCACTCAGTTAACATAAGAGCATGGGGCCAGCACCATGCCATAGGAAGCTAATCCTCCGCTTGGCACTGGCATCACATGTTGGCACCGGTTCAAGTCCGGGCTGCTCCACTTCCGATCCAGCTCCCTGCTGATGTACCTGGAAAAACAGCAGAGGATAGCCCAAGTACTTGGGTCCCTGTGCCCATATGGGAGACCAGGAAGAAGCTCCAGAGCAGCTCAGCCATGGGCCTTGCAGACAACTGGGGAGTGCAGTAGCAGACAGAGGATGTCTCTCTTCCTATCTGTAACTGCCTTTCATATAAATAAGATCTGAAACAAAGCAAACTACCACCAACAAAAAAAAGATGACAGCATGCCATCTGGGCATATCTAGTGTTGGCACTTGAGTCCAGTTCCCTGCTCATTCAGATACTGAGGGAGAGCATTGAAGGCCCAAGTACCTAGGTTCCTCTCACCCGGAGAACCCAAAGCTTGGGTTCCTGGACCCAAGCTTTGACCCAGCCAAGTCCTGGCTGTTTGAGGGATTTGGGAGTAAACTGACAGTATCACATATGCAATCTCCCAAAGAACCAAAGTCTTCCAATAAAAGAAACGTTACCGGACCCAGCACAATGCACAGTGGCTAAACCCTCCAGAATCCCATGTGGGTGCTGGTTCCTGTCCCGGCTACTCCACTTCCCTTCCAGCTCCCTGCTTGTGGCCTGGGCTAGCAGTAGAGGATGGCCCAAAGCCTTGGGGAACTATACCCCCCGTGGGAGGCCTGGAAGAAGCTCCAGTTCCAGGCTTTGGATCATCGGCTCAGCTCTGGCCATTGCAACTGCTCGAGGAGTGAACCAGCAGACGGAAGATCTTCCTGTCTGTATCTCCTCTATGTAAATCTGTCTTTCCAATAAAAACAAATGTTAAAAGAAGGAAATGTTATCTTCCGCAGATGCACAAAAAGGGTGTCTTCATTTATTAAGGAAGTTTGACATTTGCATTCTTGCACAGTGTTTAGCATATAAAGGCAGCACCGTGACGATGTGTTGTCAAGGAATTAAACTTGGCAAAAACCAAATTAAAACTCTAAAGTTTTTACACCCTTTATACTTCTAATATTGGAAACAGTGCAAAGGAAAAAATATAAAGCACAAGGAATTGTGGCCAATAATGCTGAAAATGTAGTGGGAGAAAACACTTAGAAAGAAGAAACAAACCTTAAATATTCAACCTGTGGAGAAGTGTATTATTATACTTCATGGACAGTTGCTCCGCGGTCACCCGCAGGAACTGGCTGGCCTTCCCAGTCATTAACTCTGTTTCCAAGTGTGGCACTGCTTGACTTGGTGGAGTGGGGCAGCAAGGCTGGCCAAGAACACACTGATGTCATTTATTGCAGTGCTCTGTCCTTTTTGAAATTCTATGACTTGCTCATCACTGACATCAGAATTCCTCAACAGGTCTTCCCATCCTCTATGCAATGAATGTTGCTTTCAATTGGCAAGCCATTCTGCAAGCAGTTGTGTAAACATCACATTTCTCTTATTTTTTTTTTTTAATTACTTGTTTCAAAGAGTGGCAAAGGGACACACACAGAGAAAGACCTTCCATTTATTTGTTCATTTTCCCAGTGGTCACTGAGGCCAGGGCTAAGCCACACTTCAGACGAGCCCTGAAGTCCATCCAGGACTTCCACGTGGGTGGTGGAGCCCCAGGAACTTGGACCACTGCCTTCCCAGGCATATTAGCAGGGAGCTGCACAGAAGCAGAACCGCTAGGGTTCAAGCCAGGCTCTAACACGAGCAGAGTGGCAAGCTCAGCTTATTCCACTGCACCAGACACCGGCCCCTAGATTACTCTTACTACTGAGGATTGAGGAGTGACTCTGTTGTGTCACTGTTTTTATCCTGTACACATAATTATTTTTCTGTCAGTCCATAGATTTTCTGGATTCGTTAGACAAATGCAGCATTCATTCATTAGCATTCGGAATCTCACCAGCTGGACAGAATGCAAAGGACACATGTTTAAACTGAAGGTTTCACTGCCATATTCTGTGGCCAGGTCCTTCCCAGAAGTTGCTTTCCTGTCTCTCCTGTAGAGCTTTTCCAGCCCCAACGAGAACTGCTATTTGGGGATTTGGGCTTTCAGGATTTTAATGTTCCAGATTTTAATCTTTAGAGAGTGTAATGCTGAGGATTTTAAATGTAACCCATTGATCTTTGTGAAGTTCAACATTCGGGATTATGGAGGCACAGGCCTGGCCATAATCGTGAAGCTGGAGAAGTGAAGGCGTGTGATTATGTTTGGAGAAGTGAGAAGGCACAGTGATCAGAAAAGGGCACGGGCTCATTAGCCCTGATTTCACAAACCTCTGTTTAGCCACGCTGGGCCAAGGCCGTGTAACCGACACTCCCAGTACCAGGGCTTCAGGGCTTGTCATGCTCCTCTGGTCTCCATCCTTCAGTGCTCTGCTTCTTCAGGCTGCCTCCACCACTCCTTCCTGCTGCTCAGCGTGGACTCTGTCAACAACCAGCGTGTTACCATGTCTGCAGTCCGACCACACGGGGCATCTGGGAAACCCCCCTCTGCTCCTTCTACTTGTCTCCCTTGTGGCCCACACCCCATCCGGTGGCACTTCTGCTCCCCCGTTTTCACTTCCCCTAATTCAGGTCTGCCTTCTGTCACCGCAGTTACCCTTTTGAAAGAATCTTCAGTTCTCCCGCCTCACTGATTTATCACATCTGTGCCGAAAGCCCTCTAGGATACTAATATTTCTGCCTTGCCAACCTCTGTAAGCAGGTGGAAGCAGGGGGGACTCCTTAAAGGCTTGACCAGCGTAACCTTGAGGCCAGCCCTGTCCACTGCACCCTTAAAAAGCCATCTGGACATGTGAGTTGTCTGGGCAGTTCTGGCTTCTGTTGTCTGCTGCCTCTGCCCTCCTTCCTCAAACTCAGCAGGGGACTCAGCCACCACTTTCAAGGGGACAAACAGAAACCATCATGTGGGGATTCCCGCAGCTCCCCAGCAAAGCCAGACGTGCTCCCGTGCACCTTCCTCTGGTCAGAGCGGAAGAGATGCCTGTCCAGCACGCGCATCTCACAGGCCACTGCATCCCACCATCATCGAAGGAACAAGCACTTACATCAGGGCCAGCGTTGTGGCCCAGTGGATTCAGCCACACCAACAGCCCATAATGGGTGCTGATTTGGGTTCCAATTACTCCACTTCAAGCCAGTTCCTTGCTAACGTGCCTGGGAAAGCAGAGATTGGCCCAAACACTTGGACCCCTGCCACCCACATAGGAAGTCTGGGTGAAGCTCATGGCTGCCAGCTTGGGCCTGGGCTACCCCCAGTGGTTGCAGTTATTTGGAGAATGAACTAGTGGATAGAAGATCAATCTCTCTCTCTCTGCCATTCAAACAAATCTTTAAAAACAG